ATAGATCTCAGAAGTTACACTCATAAAAGAAAAATAAAATTATTAAAAGTAACTCTAGCATTTCCACACCAAAAAAAGCACGTTCGATTTTTAAAAAAATTTAATATTAATTTTATAAAGTCAACCGTTACCTCTGCAGTTATATATGTAATGTGATATTACCTTTTGTTCTTAATATAAAAGTTCTTTTATTTTTATTTTAGTCTTAAATATAAGATTCCAATCCACTTTATCTTTCATATTCATCCATTTTTTTCCCAAAATAGTCCTTATAATAATAATAATAATTCTAACCAATACACTTGATTAGTAAAGATATTTTTAGTAAAGACAACATATATTTATTATAAATAACTAACATAATTAATTTTTTTAATCTACTCAAATCAGTCAACTAACTCTTATATTAATGACTGGAGATAGTATTTATGAATGATTGTTTGTTGGTTATTACTTTCCTTATCATATAAGTTGATTTGAACATGATTACACTATGCATTAGCTTACTCAAACACTACTCGTGATTTTTTCTTGAAAATCTATATAGTTAATATGACATCCTTGTTGCTTATCAGAAAACATGATATATTACCTCCAGTCATACTACAAACGATGTCTTATAATTAGGATCGGAGATAATACTTGTTAACACAATTGTTAGAATATTCTCAATTACACAGAATCTAAAAGCTAAAAATCTTGAACCTCACTTATAATCCCAATTCTTCCTTCCAATATGAAATTCAGTTATTTTCTAACTCACTTAATCCATTTGGAACATTTATTAAACATCAAGTCTTGCAATCGATAAATCACTATCCCCAAATTCTTCAATTTACGTTTCGACCCATCATGCACATATGTGAAATTCAACCTTATGTATCAAACTAAACTAATTAAACTTTAATTGCTTGCTTGAATTTACAATTTCATTTGTTACAATGGATCTTTTAAAATTAAAATATTGTGGTATCTTATTTCTCATAAGAAAAGTAGTGTTGTATTGTAACTATTTCTTTAGCACGTATTTATTTGTATTTATAACCACCGATGCATCTCATGAATTACTCTTGCAAAAGAAAAATATAATTATTAAAAGTAACTCTAGTAAGTAGTAGTATCTTAAACAAAACATTTTGGACTTTTTAAAATTTTGAGATTATTTTAAAAAACTCAGCCATTACTTCTGCAAAGTTATACATGTAATGTTACAGTCATGAATGGTTGTTTCTTCATTGTTACTTCCCTTGCCATGCAAGTTGAATCGAATATAGTTAGCCAGCTTGCGTATTTGCTTGCTCAAACACAACTTCTGATTTTTTCTTGGTCAAACCATGATCAATGTAAATCTATATAATTAACATGTATCTCAATTACATAAAATCTATGAGCTAAAAGTCTTAAAATCTCACTTATAGTTCCCAATTCTTCCTTCCAATATGAAATTCGATTATTTTCTAACTCAATTAATCCACTTGGAAACATTTATTAATCATCAAATCCTACAATTAATATGTTACAATTCCCAACTTCCTCAATGTAGGGTTCAGCCACTATGCACATATGTGAAATTCCACCTTTTATAACAAACTAAACTGATTAAATTTTAATTCAACCTCAATTAAATTTTGATTGCTTGTTTGAATTTACAATTTCATTTGTTGCGACGGATTTCTTTTTTAAAAAAATCAAAATATCATGACATCTTATTTCTCACGAGAAAAATAGGATTCTATCGTAAGTGTTTCTTTTAACACGTATTTATTTGCATTTATGGCCGCCGATGCATCTCATAAATTACTCTTGCAAAAGAAAAACAGAATTATTGAAAGTAACTCTAGTAGCTCCAAAAGATACTTTGAACTCCTTTAATTTTATAGGCTTGACCATTACTTCTGGAGTCTTATATATATGTGTGTGTGTGTGTGTGTCTATATATGAATAATTGTTCACTTATTGTTACTTTGCTCGTCATGGATTCCATGCTGCTTCAAATGAAAGATATGCCTTCCAATCCAGAAGATGGCGAGTCTTATCTCCCACCCTTCATTGTTGAGGAGATCAATTCTGGGGTTATTCATCTTAGAAAGAAAAAACAACTTTGCTATGCAGCTGTTGTTGCTGGTTATGGCAGCGTCAAAGCTCAACCTCATGCCAATTCTCTTCATAAGTCATCTCCCAATAATCAGGTTTATAATTGAATGGCCCCACATTCACTTCCAAGTACAAGAAATCATAAGTGCGCTATTAATGTTTGATTAGTGTTTTTAATTTTCTCTTTTGCTCCAAGCATTTTTCTTCTTATGCAGAATCATTTATTGTAACAGGTTTGTGAAGAAAAAAAGGCAGAGCAAGTTTTGCCAATGGAACAAAAGCTAACATGGGCACAAATTGTTAAGAGAGAAGTTAATAGTCCTCCCAAAAGCAACATGCGTGTGCCTCCACAATCAAGTTCAAGTTCAAGCATGCCTTCTAGGAAGTCTCAGGGGGTGAAAGGGAAGATCGCATCTCCTAATAAGCAAGTCATCCACCCCAAGTCTGCAAAGAAAATGAGTAAGTTAATACTTAATTCTTCATATAAACAAGTCATTAATTATTGTTATAACATTTGGTTTTAGTTATTGTTTCTTAATTAAACAGTTGCGCACCCCTATTCACTACTACCTCCGATGTTTAACATAACAGCTAGTTTGACTTTCAGTTTGGTCCTAAATATAAGACCCCAATTTACTTTATCTCTCATATTTATCTTTTTTTTTAAAGTAGTCATTGTTGAAGTTGTATATGTTAAATATTCAATTAAGTTGTAGTTTTTACTAGTACATGATTAATTAGGATATTTTAAGGAAGACAACATCTAATTATTACAAATAATTAACTCAATAAATTTCTTTAATCTATTTATATTGGTTAACTAGCTCTTATTTCACTTGCAAGAACCTGTCTCGTGTTGATCCGTATGGAATATGCTTCTATGTGTTTTTCCATTGAGCATGTTTTTCGGGAAAAAAGTTGCTTTTGTGGAAACGTGGTTTTTCCGTTTTTGCTATCTTGAGGATGACAACAAACGTGTGCCGATATGCTAACAAAACTTTCTTGTTGCATAGGAGTTCAGGGGAGACGTGTCACAGGAACCTTTATTTATTTTCAGTTTCACCAAGCTTTTGCGCTGCTTTTTTTTTTTCCCCTATGCCCAAAAGGAAAAGGAACTAACTACAATAACCGAACCCATGTTGGGCCATGCGGGTGTTGGGCCTGTTGGGTTTGAGACGTGTTAACAATTAAAAAGGAGAAGCAATAGGATTGAGTCAAGCTAGAGTAGTTAATCCCTCACAATGTGATAAATTAAGAGATTAGTTCCTCACAACAACATAACGAATCAAGATTCGAATCCCTATTGAGAGAGATACTCATATTTAGTGCCTGATAGTGTCTTAAATATGATTACTTCTAATAAGAGGATACCTATATTTAGCACAAAAAAAAAGAGATTCTAGTCTCCGTCAGGAGAGGTGCCTATATTTAGTACCTTATAGTACTTTAAATAAGATTATCTTTAATAGAAGGTACGTAAAAAAAATTAAAGGGAAAAGTACAGTGGATCTTGGGCTTTTTTATTTAAGATATATTTAAAGGACCATTAGTTCCACGTTATATCACTTCATTAATTATCTGCCCATTTTTTCTTATTTGCCCACCGTCCCTCTCACTCTCTCTCCTTCTCTATGAATAAAGATATTTTCAAAAACAAAATGCATTTTTACTTTTTACAAATTTTAAGCAACTTTTTTTTTAATCTATCTGATTCAATTATCTATATCTTATAAATATACATGACCAAATGAAGTATAAATTAAATAAATTTTGTTGCTTGTGTAACTTCAACTTATATATTTCATGATTTCTGTTGTCCTAGTTCCTATTTATTTTTTCAAAAGCATGGTTTGTTTGGTATGACTATCCTTGATCACTTTTGTTTGTGTGTGGTTATATTATTGGTAAATATTTCACCATTCTTCATTTTTGTGATGATGTAGTCTAACACCCTATAAGAAATCATTACTTCCTTTCCTCCTTCAAGTTATTGAACATCCTTTTCTTTTTTATGTACCTAACAGCTTCAGAAGAAAAAAACATGTTGCCCCAATTGCAAACAAAAAGAAATTTTCAACAAACATGTTTTCTGGGAAAAATCTGCTGCTGATTTTCCTTCTTTTTCTAGGTGGGAAGAAGAAGTAGATAGAGAAGGCAGTGGGAAAACAAGCATCACTGCTGGTTCATTATCACTGAGGAGTGGACCCATATATTAATTATTGATATGTGTTAATGCAGTGATGTATTATGAAACTATAAATTTTATGGAATAATAGTATCAGCTTATTCTAAGAATTTATGACCCTTCTTTGGTTTCCACCCCCCCGCCGGGGGCCCCCCCTCAAGTTCTAATCAATACATGAGCATGTTTTGCAAGCACAAAAAAGTCGATACCTATAATTTAGTCATTTAAAATAGGAAAAACTGCAATAAGATCTCACCACAGAAAATTAAATACATAAAAGTCTCTTAAAATATCAAATTATTCTAAAATTTTAAAGGATCTCGTTGCAATAAATTTGTCAATGAAAACTTAAAAAAAAAAAAACAACTTGATAATTAAACAAATGAATTTTTTTGTAATAAGGTTTTTTAAGATTTCAGAATAATTTAATGATTTCAAGAGATTTTTTGTGTTTAATTCTTTTGATTGGGACTCTGTTGCAATTTTTCCTTTAAAATATGAGTCACTAATCACCCAAATGTATTGGGTTTTGAACTAATCACTTCCAAATTGAGTTGAAGACGAAGATTGCCAAATCAAAACTCTGCATGAAGCAACTGATTGATTTTCCTTTAGCAGAGTGAATTCAATTGCATTAGCATTTCACGAATTTTATTAAAATAAGCAAGGTGGCAGCTATGTACGAAAATAAATAAATAAGAGTGGAAGACATTAGACCGGAAAACACCCTGTCAAAGGCAACACAGGAAGCAATGTCTACCAAAACCCAAAGAGGCGAAGAAGGAAGAAGAAGCAATCAAAACTTGTTGAGTGTGGGCCATCACCATCATCATCACCGTTGCGAATAGTCAATTACAGAACAATCCAATTCAAAAACGCTACCCACAACCTTTCGGTCTTCTTGCTCTTCTTCTCTCAACTTCTGTTTGAGGATTCTGCCTGAACAAAACATAGCACAAGGAGCAGAAAATGAGAATGGCAATGCAGGGTGTTGATCCACTCAGTGAAAAAGCAGCCATGATGAAAGAGTCGCTCCAGAAGAGCCAGACTATCACAGACAAGGTGGTTACCATTCTGGGTTCCTTTGACCACCGTCTCTCCGCCCTTGAAACCGCCATGCGCCCAACCCAGGTTTTTATCTTTCCTCCTTTTTTTCATTTTGTTTTTGTTCCTCATGCTTCATGTTTGTTTGTTTCTCGAGAAAATGTTGCGAAAATCTGGTAACCGCACCCGGCTTAAATTCAAGTTCAGTATTTTACTTATCGAGGGGGAATTTTACTTAATCTCCTGGGTTTTCGTTTTCGTTTGTTTTTAAAGCAACTATAGAACGGATCCGATGTTTTGGTGTAGTTTCTGTTCTGTTCTTACGTTATTGTTCACTGCTGGATCCTCTATTGTGTTTGTATGTTGCAGATTAGAACGCATTCTATCCGGAAAGCTCATGAAAATATTGATAGGACCTTGAAGGCTGCAGAAGTGATATTGGCTCACTTCGATCAATATCGGCAGGTTGATATCGTGGCTCGCATTTCATTATACTAGCTTGTATGCTTAATGCTTACTGTCTGAGATTCTGAGCCAGTCTGTGATTTGTTTCTCGCCTGATTGCTTCCTTGAACTTGTTACTAGGTATTGATAAATAAAAGTTCAAATTACCTTTAGGGAACAAGGTGCCTGACCGATTGAGGGTGAAACAATACATAAACAGATAATCCATCTGTTTGAGTCATACTTTTTTCTACCTTAGGCAGGTTTAAAAGAATAAAAAGGAGGATCTTTTACAGCTTACATAGAGTGGAGTTTGAATCTCTGTTTTGTCCTTCGTCATTTGCACGTTTTCAAATCTTATGTTGCAATTTTTTTCTTTTGCTGCAAAGTGCTTCTCTATTCTTGTGCATTGTTTTATTTCATGTGTAATTTTGATGTCGTTATGCTTGTTTGAGACTTACATGGTATATTTACATTTTAAACTTTTGCTCTTAAAAGGTAGGATCTTCGCAGCCTCAACCCTATCTTTTTAGCCTCTTTTTGATCTTGGGTGAGTTCTGAACCTGTTCTCTGATTGCAAATTACTTTGGAAAACCCTATAATTTTTTGGTTTTCTGTGTATTTGGCTTGGTTCTAGGTTTTTGAATGAAGGTATGTGCTTGTACCAAATTGTGTCTGGTTTTTTTCCTTCATAACGAAAGAACCTAACATCCGTCTTATCACCCCAACGACTTTATTTCTAAAATTTTACTCTTTATTAGTTTCCCTTATTCCACTTATGTTCTCCTTCCACAAATCTTTTTTTTTTTTGGTTTGACTAAGAGGGAATTTGCACTCTTTCTTTTGTTATGGATACCTATCCATGCCACACCCTCTATGATTTTTGGGTGAAATATATTTTATTATCCTGTGATTGGATTTTTTTTTTAAGAAAAAAACTCTGAACTCTTTTTTTTTTTTTTCCTTTTGGGTCTTATTTTTTTGTTTTTGGTTTGGCTAAGAAGGAGTTTGTGACATTTCTTTTGTCATAGATACCTTTCTATGCCAGGGTGTTTTCTTAGGTTCCCTTGTGATTTGGACTTTTTTCTTTTCACTTTGCTACCCTGTGGTTTAAAAGTTGACATTTTGTCGTCTTGAGGTTTACTAATGTTATGCAGTATTAACTTATACTTTAAATTCATGAATGATCAAATGGAACTTCCCAAATTTGACACATTTTCTAAATTTCATCTAAAAAACGCGGTTTGAAGAACTTAGGGGTGTTTGATTGAATGGTTAGGCAGGAATTTGATGTTTTTGGCCAAGAATTTAGAGAGTGTGGGGCCTGGTTGGGAAGAGAGGAGTTATAGATTTTGAGATGGAATAGGAGAGATTTGAAGGAATTAGGAAATTTAGGGTGCCAGTTGGATAGATAGGGATGAAATATTGGGGATGAGGTTAGAATTATGGGACTGTGGGACTCAAGTGGAAAGAGATGGATTGGGAATTTTGAGACAGAATTAACAGTAATATGGGAATTGTATAGGATTTGAGGACGAGAGAAGAAATTGGAGAGAAAGGGGTTAACAATTATGGGATGAAATTGAGAGGGATTTGAGCAAACAAATATAAAATATAAGAAATTGTAGGAGGCTGCATATCTTGGGCTTTGTGCAATTGCGGAGGACCCATTCTAGTTTAGATAGGGTTTGGGGATTTCCATTTGATGTTTGCAGAGTTAAAGCAATAGAGTAGTGCTGTGCTAATGGAGCAAACCGAAGATAGTAAAATGTTAGTTGTCGAAGCATGAGATAGCAATGTGTAAATGGCCTAAACCACAAGATATTAAATTGCATTTGACCCTACTCTTGTATCATCATCAATGTAGTTTTTTCATCTAATGCATTGCTGATTCTAACTCTCTGTGTGTGTGTGTGTTCTTCAAAAGGTACACACAAATATAAAATATTAAAATCTGTTTTTTTCATTTGCATGTTTTATTGTTGTTAAATATTGTGATTGATCAAATCTGCAGGCGGAGACAAAAATACTTAAAGGGCCACATGAAAACTTGGAGAACTATCTTGAAGCAATTGAAAGACTGAGAAGCAACATTCAGTTTTTTGGTAGTAAAAAGGGCTTTAAGAGTAGTGATGGTGTTGTCAACCATGCCAATACTTTGCTAGCTAAAGCTATTTCTAAACTAGAAGATGAGTTTAAGCAGCTATTATCATCTTACAGGTTTTTATTTCTGTGCTTAATGCTGTTGATCTTCTTTTGTCTTCATGATGCGAGTTTGACCTTTCCTCCTATTCTCTTGTCAAAATGGATACTTACTAATGCACATGTTTCTTGCTGATATGCGGAAAGCTCTATTTGAGCATGTTACTTTTACTCATAGTGTCATTTGTGTTATTACAGCAAACCTGTGGAGCCTGAACGCCTCTTTGATTGCCTTCCAAACTCAATGCGACCTTCCTCTTTATCACCAGGGCGTGAGGGTGATTCTAATGGCAAGAATCCCTCTTCAAATAATCCATCTGACCCACTAAACAATGATACTGAATCTGTTGTCTATACACCTCCTGCTCTTATACCGCCAAGGATTTTGCCTCTGTTACATGATTTAGCCCTGCAAATGGTACAAGCTGGGAACCAACAGCAGTTGCTCAAAATATACAGGTAAACTACTTGCTTGCTTGACGGCGTCATTGCCGAAGGAAAAGTTGAAGCTGCTTTACTGGGAATTCTACATTTCTAAGACTGCAATATACCTAGTGAACAAGAAGCTAATTTTTATTATTAAAACTTCTACCAAGATGAAGGCTTGCGCTACTCAGACTCTGCAGTTTCTTTTTTCTTTTTCCTGGTGAAACAAGGGGCCAAAAAGCCCTTCTATTTCCTTGAGCATAACATAAGTGTATAGCCTCAATATAATTTTGCTTTTGGCATCTAGTCTTGGTGTAGCCTTTCTTAGAGTTGCTTTGCGGTTGTAAACTTGTTGCATGTTGTGATTTTTAATTATGAAAATTGAGGTTCAAGAGGGATGTAATGTCACTGAGCATGATAAGAAATATAATTTTATTTTAAACGAGAAATATTCTTAGTTGTGCAAAGGCAACTCTTAGGTGTCATGATGAAGCCAACATGTGAAGGGTGCAGCAGCATTTGCTGCCATACTTAACCCAAAAAGAAAGTTCGATTTTCATTCTGCTTACATATTTGTGATCGATTATATATATCTCTTCCTCACTGAGTTGGATGCAGTATATATTCAGACTTGTTCATTTGTAGATCAGTGCATTCTTCACGATGCTGAGATCAGATGATTTAGCCTTGGCTTGGATTCATTTTAATTGTGAGGAAATGAATGTAAGATTAGAATATTGATGGTAAAGAGTTTCTGTTTGTGAGGAATAAAAATTTTAATTGTGAGGAAAAGTTATTCTGCAAAAATTAATTGTTGCAATTCTTCAAAACATGAAACTTCATAAGGGGATTTTGGCTTATTACAATCATTTGTAACTTCTATCGTCTCCAGGTTTTCTAAGTATCAATTAGGAAAAAAGAGTTCTTGTGAACTACTGATTCAAGCCAATCAACCACCCATTTATGTCCTCATATGTTCTCAGTGGACAAGGGGACAATACACTAAAAATATGTGCATACAGGAAATGTGTGTGTGTGTGTTCACAAACTCATGCAGACAGCCTCACCTGTCTATGAATTGTAGGCTTTATATCAGCTGCTTATGATGACTTGTTTAATGGGACCAATATAAATTATATTAATTTTGCTATGATTGCCAGGATAATCTGAATCATTACTTTGTGCAGGGAAACCCGTTCTACTGTTCTGGAAGAAAGCCTTCATAAACTGGGAGTTGAGAAACTCAGCAAAGATGATGTTCAAAAGCTACAATGGGAGATCTTGGAGGCCAAAATTGGAAACTGGATTCATTTCATGCGTATTGCTGTAAGTTGTTTATGGATTTTTTTTTTTTGGGGCTATCGACTTGCTTTTGGATTTAGTTCTGTGGTCTTGTGTATTTTCATTCACATATGTGGTTATGCTTTGTTGCTGGTGGATCTAGTTGTGTGGTTTTATGTATTTTCGTTCAAATATGTGGTTATGCTTGAACAGGTCAAATTGTTGTTTGCTGGTGAGCGGAAAGTTTGTGATCAAATTTTTGAAGGCTTTGATTCACTTAGTGATCAATGCTTTGCTGAAGTGACAACAAGCAGTGTCTCTATGCTACTTAGCTTTGGAGAAGCAATTGCCAGAAGCAAGAGATCACCAGAAAAATTATTTGTGCTTTTGGACATGTATGAAATAATGCAAGAGCTGAATTCAGAGGTACTGGCTTTTGAAATTCAAATTCATGCAGGATGCTGCTATCTCGCTGATGATATGGGGATTAATTTTATTGGATCAGTTTGTCAGCCTTTCTTTCTTTCTTTCTTTTTTTTCTTTTAACGTTCAATACAACAAACATTCCTTGGTCAACATGACGCTTTCTATATCTCTTGACATGTTATGGATTGGACTGGTAGCTTATTTATAGTTGCCTCTTTAGATGAAGTGTCTTTGGCCTTATTTATTAGGTTTTGCGGGAAAGAATTTCCAAATTTTCTGTGTCTCCCTCCTTGGTTGGCTAAGAGTAGGAAATGACCTTTAACTAATTTTGGTGTTTCAAACATATCCAGTTATAGGCTAGATAGACAGTCGTGTATTTATTCTGTGAATGTTGAATTTAAATGTTATTCAAACTGGAGGATTTATCATGATTGCTGAGTTCCATAGGATTTATCTATTGATATGAAAGTACTAGCTCTTTTGAGCTAGCACATTCATATGAATATTATTAATTACTTGCATATATTTATGATAAGTTAAATCGTCATAATTTTCTCTTATTATTGGATTGAGTCCGTTGTTAGATTTGTTTCTATTATACTTAATTCATTTTGTGGTAGTTATATTTTACCATGGTGGTATGACGTCACTATTTCCCTTTGGGCAAAGATGTGATATATTTGGCGTTTTGAAATAATGCAAGGCTGATTTAGGTGGCTGTATCATTAGATGAACGAGAAGCATATTTAAATGGCATTACAACCTTATTGTCAACTTGTTTATCTGTCTCTTTGTAGATCCATACGCTCTTCAAAGGTAAAGCTTGCACTGAAATGAAAGAAGCAGCATTGGGTTTGACAAAACGTCTGGCACAAACAGCACAGGATACCTTTGGGGATTTTGAAGAAGCAGTTGAGAAAGATGCTACAAAAACTGCTGTTTCAGATGGAACTGTGCATCCATTGACAAGCTACGTAATTAACTATGTGAAGTTTTTATTTGAGTAAGTTCATTTGAGCTGCCTGAAGATCCGAGTTCTCTTGACTGAATTATCTTTGTCATTCCTAGCATTTTATGTTGTCTTCTCTGATTATGAAGCTGTTATTCATTATTGATTTGGCATGCAACCCATGCATATTTAATATGTAGTTTTATTAGTTACTTATTTTACATCTATTTTCATCCAAACTGTTGGAAATCACATTTAATTTGTGATTATTCTAAGGCTTTGGTGCCTTTATTTTTCCCTTTTGTCTACTGGTAAATGGGCCATGATATCTGGGCATTTTGTGCGCAAAAGCTTCATAAGAATCTCATGGGCTTTTGTTGGTTGATAGGCTGAGGTCAAATCCTGTTTTCTCCTCAAGTAGTGTCCTCCTTTTTGAGTCCTTATGTTCGTGTTTGTTTACTCTTAGGGCTTATTGACGATTTTCTATGGTTCTGTCAATTGCAACCTTCGTGTTTAACATGACAAAGTTCAGAGTGAAATTCTTCACAAACCTTTTTTTTCCCCGGGTCAAAGTTTTCAGTTGTGCTGGGACTATACAATGGATTTACATCCACCTGGCCTCAATAACGAAAACCGTTTCTGTTGTAATGCTTTTTAAGTGTACCCTACGCTGTGGGAGTATTTTACATACTTTTTGTTTTTTTGGGTGATAATATTTTACATACTTTTGATTGTTTATAGTTATTGCCTCGTTCAACTTTATATATCTTTAGGTATCTAACCCACATAAAATCCCCTAATTTGCAGCTATCGGTCTACCTTGAAGCAACTATTCCAAGAATTTGAAGGTGGAGATGCTACGTCACAGCTTGGATCAGTAACAATGCGAATAATGCAAGCTTTACAAAACAATTTAGAGGCAAAGTCAAAGCAGTATAGAGATCAGGCTTTAACACATCTATTTCTCATGAATAATATTCATTATATTGTCAGATCAGTACGGAGGTATGTCATTCACATGTGGTTGCCATACTTTGAAGCATGTGGGAGTTTTCTTGGATCCTTAAATTTTCTGTTCATCTTGGGTCTATTTAGGTCTGAAGCCAAGGATTTGTTGGGTGATGATTGGGTACAGCGACATAGGAGAATTGTGCAGCAGAATGCGAACTTATACAAAAGAATTGCTTGGGCCAAGGTATTGTTCTGTTTATTAACGCGGTAGTGGTGTAGTGCACAACATTTCTGAAGTCGCTATATTTGAAGTTTCTTTCTGATCACCTGAGTTGTATCGTTATTTGTTAGAATTCATTGAGTAGAACAACTAAGGTAAAGAAGGAAGAAAAATAGACCATCCATTAATAAACTTGTTTTGGAATTGTGGTGCAGTAGAATCAAATGCTGAAATGTCTTGCACATATTTGATGGTTATGCATAAGAGCCATTTTATGTCTCTTTTGGAAATTGCTTTGTCTGTTTCCCTCATTTTGTGCTTGTAGTTTGATCTCTTTGTGGGATGTCATCTTTATTGATCTATACTTGAGAGGGAGCAATGCTGTGTCTGAATTTGGCTCTTTTCCCTTTGCAGATTCTTCAGTGCCTCTCTATTTCGGGCCTCACCTCATCTGGTGGGGGTGGCAGCACCGGAGGTGGAGATGCAGGAAGCAGTAGTGGTGCTTCAAGAGCGATTGTTAAAGACAGGTAGGCTTTAAATTTTCTATTTCGTGTAAAGTTTCTTTTTACATGTCTTTTGACATCTCAATTTAAATTGTGCTCTCAGGTTTAAGACGTTCAATATTATGTTTGAGGAGCTTCATCAGAAACAATCTCAATGGGCTGTTCCTGATACAGAGTTGCGAGAATCTCTTAGGCTTGCTGTTGCTGAAGTCTTGTTGCCAGCATATCGATCATTTGTGAAGCGTTTTGGGTGAGTCCTCTCTCTCTCTCTCTCTCTCTCTAGAAATCCTCATTCAGGGTGAAACCCCTTACCAGCTTAGTGTATCTAGGATTTTACTAAATACTCTAAAGAGGAATGGAGTCCAATTTGTATAGGACGAAGAATCTAATTATAAGAATTTAAATTTAGATCCTCTACTCACACCTAATCCTACCAATAAGATAGTGAACAGCCATTTTAGTCTAAAAGTACAGTAACCATTAAGTTGCCCCTGAGCATGATTTAATCTTCCCTATATTTGTGTCAATTAGTTGGTGGTCCCGAGTTTAAGAATAGAGCCATACTATTCACATTTTTAGAGAATTTATATTTTATATTAGTATTGATGTTTGTGCTTCTCAGCTTCCTTTTGATGCATATATGAGAACATTGTTACAGGCCTTTGGTGGAGAATGGAAAGAATCCTCAGAAGTACATAAAATACACAGCAGAAGATCTAGAGCGAATGTTGGGCGAGTTTTTTGAAGGGAAAAGTGTGAATGAGATGAGGCGATAAAGCTGAGCCTGCCCAATAATTTGATAAGGTGGGCCTGTTCAGCTTGTTCTTGATGATGTAGTAAAGGTTGATGCCCTTGTGGGTACAGTCTCGTTTCAGTGGAAGTTCATAAGGAACCAGGCAAAGATGCTGAAGATCAAGTTTTTGTATGTAGGAATTGTCACCAAATACTCAAATATCAGTTTGAATGCCTGTTCTGTATTGCCTGTATAGTTCATTTTTAGTCCTACGTGAGATCATAGATTTCCTGGTATATGCCGCCTGATATCATGGCTGAGGATTAAGATTCAGGATTCTTTGAAACTTAGGGTCCATTTGGTATGAACAAAATGGAGGGAAGGAGAGAGGGAAAATTTTAATAGGCTCGATTTGAAAATTGAAGATGTGGGGTTAAGAGCTTTTGATTAATTTTTTTTTTTTTTTACATTTTATCTATCAAAATTGTATAACCACATTTTTTTAATTTTTTAAATCGAGCTTATTAAAATTTTTTTCTCTCAATTCCCTTCCCTCTAATTCCCTCATACTAAATATAGGGTTGGTGAATAACGTGATGGCAGTGAGGAGATTAAAATTTGATCTTTTCTAGGATAATTTAAATCTATTGTGATGTAAAATTATTTTCAGCCTCCTGGGGGAGCTCATTTTCAGTACTTTTGCAATATTCAGGCACTTTTGTCTTTTGTATGTTATGTAATCCAATTATCTTGTGCATAGCTACGTAATTTAGTCTTACATTGTGCTTGAGTTTGATCCTTTTTAATTTTAATGAAGAGCTTGATCAATTTTAAGCCAGAATGGTTGCGTTTTAGCACTATATATTGGGAGTTCGACTTTCAACTTACACACACACACACACACAAACAAATTTATATAACCTAGTTAGCAGCTTATTATTTGCCTTCAATACCTGAGAAAGATTAGTATAACTTTTTCCATTGCACTTTATTCTTTGGCGGGGAAAAAAAGGAGTTTCATGTGAGGAAAACCGTGGAAAAAGATTCATTAACAAATTTAATTGGGAAGAAGGGCCTGATCCAAAATCTAATTTTCATCTTTCATATTCTATATTTTAGCTTATGTGATTCTGCACTTTTTTTTTCGTGTTTTGCAATCGTGGATTTTTTGTCCTAATTAAATCAAGGCATAGGCCTTTTCCCCCAAATTTCCCTTTCATATACGAATTATTAGATGTACAATTTTTTGTATTAAAATTTCATGAAATAAAAAGGATTCAATTAGTCGTTTTGTGGCCATGTTCCCTTTGCAGTTGGAAAATTGGGGCAAATATTCCAAGTACTATCATTGCCAGCCACATATAAATCCATTTTTTTTCAAGTTCAAACAAAATATTCAGAGAAAGCCAACTTTTTATCAGAATCCCTCTGCAATTGGAAACACAGACCTGAGAGGTTAGCTGCTAAGTGTCAACATTAATTATTAACTTTATAAAAACTTGTAATGAGAAGGATTTTAGGTGGATTTTGTCTCTTCCCATACCTAATAGCTGGTAGACTATCAAGCGTCACAATAACTTCAGGATTATAAGATAATTTATTATAATTATAAATTCTTTTATACCAATTATTTTATGACTTTCTCGTACTTCGAAATTTGGTTTTAAAATAAATGGATGCCCATTTGGAGAGATTAAGAATTTAAGTATTTTAGTTTTGCTTCACGAATCATTTTGGAGAAGAGACTTTTTTCAAGGAATCAATTTATTTTTTTAAAAATAAATAATAAATTAAAAATTCTTTAAAATACTGAATCGATGTTAATGTTTATGAAATATATTATTTATTAATGTATATATAAAATATAATGTTATATTTATTTGAAAAGTGAAATCGAAATAAGGTACTTGTTTTAACTTCTGAAACCATAAAAATTAAGAGGGGGAGCAGAACAAGATCAATTGATGATGTGCTTATAATTGGAAGATGAAAATCAAACTTGTATCAATATACTCTTCTGTTTTTTATTGTAAGACTTAATTAATTAGTTTGAGTAGAGTAATGATGTCAATTAAATTAGTTAATATATATTTTTTCAAAATATCCCAATTATTTTTCTTAATTCCTTTCATCCTTCTATTTGATTGTTGTTGATGGAATATCAATAGGGTTAATTTAAAAAAATTGGTAAACATATAAAATAGGTCTTAATATAAAATCAATATCAACTCTCAAATTAGGTCCTAAATTAATAACAGGAGGAATATATTACTCATTTCTTTCCTTAATATAAGAGCTAGTTAAGGGGTTAAATTTGATCATAAATATAAGATCTTAATTTATTGTCTCTTTTTGTTTTCTTCAAAATATCTTTATTGATTGTAAGGAATTCTCAGGAAGGGATAATTTCAATCAATTAATGCGCATAATTAAGGAGGATGATTTGGGAAACCAACATACTTTATTAACAAATAATTAGCTTAACTAATTTTTTTAATATCCTTAAATTAATTATTTAGTTTTTATATTAAAAAAATGGGAGGCAGTAATACCAAGAGTATTTGGCAGTATTAATGGAAGAGGTTATCAGCATGTTTGGATCTCGAATGAGGACAGCAGATGTGCCTGGAAAAATGGCAACCGTGGCGTTTTGGGCAATAAGCTAATTCGCGCATGTTTTGCAGAGTGTTCTTTTTTTCAAAAGAACTTCTAAGCCTCATCGCACATTGGGTTTGAAGCTAAATTTTGGTGCGCTATGAAGAAATATTGGTTCACAACATGGAGAGAGAAAAACAAGCAGTGATAAAAAGGCAAAATAGGACCTACTTTGGATTATTTATTTAGAGAATTAAAGTATATCCAGTACCCTGAAATTTTTTTTAAAGAATATTTGACACCTTAAAATATTTAGTGATGTATATAGTATCCTAAAGTATTATTCTAGATGCATCTAACATCCTAAAATATTGTTTAGTATAATTTTTTCTTTAGCAATTTAAGGTATTGGACGCACTACAAAATAATTTAAAATCTTGAATGCACCTAAAAAAATATTTTAAGGTGCTGAATACACCTTAATATAACTTAATTAGGATGTTAGACATACTTAAAAAAATATTTTAGAATGCTGGATGTATTACTAAATACTTTTAGTTACATTAAATATATCTAATTAAGTGTTTTTCTAGTATTTATAATTTTTTTCTTATAATACATTAACTTTTTTTTATTTTTATACTTTTAATTTTAATATTTCTTTCAAATTTATGAAATTATATATATTATTTATATGTATAATAAAGTTTGTATCTTTTTTAGTCATTTTTTTTTCGCTCATCTAAACAAGTTTTAATTTGTCAAACTGATTTTTTTTAAAAATCAATTCAAATATAAATCACATCATGTTATTGATTTTTGTTTTAATTGACTTTTACAAAGTCAATTTTCTCACCGCTAATCTAAACATACCTCATGTCTATTTAGATATATAATTTTATGGTTTTAAATCTGTATCAATGTAAAAGGTATCTTTAAAATAACTGTTCGACTCAATTCAATAATACTTAAATATGATCTAGTAATACTGAGATAGTCATATATAAAAATAAAGAATTGATGGAAATTAAAGTAGAAAAAATTGGTGGGTGAGAATACAAGATATATAATAGGCCATATCAGTCTTGATGAATTCAACCGAGAATCCTCAAAAATCTCAAAACCATTAGAGTAATGGCAGGATAAACTAGACAGAATTTGATGTGGGAGATCACAGATCCCTAGATTGTAGAGTAGCATGATGATGATGATGAAAGAGTTGGTAATTATTTGAAAGGATATATGAATGATGCAATATTTATATATATATATTCATGAATCATAATTCCATCAATCATTCAAGGAAGGCATTATTATTTATTTATATTTTTGGTGCCATGCTATGTGCTATGCTTATGCTATGTTTGGTTCCTCCATTCAGCACCTCGAGACTAGAAAAAAGAAAGAAAGCCCTGTCCATTCAAAGAGACAAACAGTCCTCTCCCTCTTTTTCCTCGTTCTTTGCAGAATAATCTCCTTTTCCCCTCCACTTTCTCTTTTTCTCTTTTCCGTCTTTTCGTTTTTTTCAGCTTATTCTTAACAAAAGCCATTATTCCCTTCCTTGTGTTCAAACCTTGTTTCTTTCCCTTTGTTATTTTATACTTCCCTCCCCCACTTTAGATTATCCTCTCCCCTTTACACAATTATATATGAATACACTATGCTACACTACACTCTTCTCTCTCTCTCTCTCTCTCTGTGAGAGAGAGAAAGAGAGAGAGAGAGAGAGAAAGATAAAAGTTGTATCCATCCATCACATGCCATCCACTTTCTCATACAAAGCCAAAATTTCCCTCACTTGCAAGAAAAGCACAAATCCCACATCAAATCTCTCCCTTGCAGACACCTCTCTCTCAACTTAAGCCTCCTATAAACCTCCACGAACTCCTCTCTTCCCAGACTAGCTAATAATTAAGCTATCTATATCACTCACTCTTCTTCTTTCTCCCCTTGTCATCAATATTCATGCAAGTTCTCGTTCATCTCTAATACTTCTGTTAGTTTCAGTCTCTTATTGTGTATACACATATCTATCTCTCGTCCTCAATATCTGTTTGGCTTCCAATCATCAAATCTCTCTCTCGATCCCTCTCTCTTGTTGCACGTACATGTTCTTGCTGTTGCAGAAGCAAACTAACAAGAAAAGCAAAACTAATCACCTATCTTGCTTCTGCTCTCTTGTTCTGCATCTTTTTGTGAGCCGTTCTTGTTGTAAGTAGATTCACAACTCGTCGAAGAAGAAGAAGATGAGGGCAGGGATTTGCAGCATCCAGCTTCAGGCTCTCACACCGGAGGCAGCAAATGTTGTGAAGCAAGCTGTGAGTCTAGCCACAAGGCGTGGCCACGCACAAGTGACTCCTCTCCACGTGGCAAGCGCCATGCTTGCCACGTCCACTGGTCTTCTCCGAAGAGCTTGTTTACAATGTCACTCTCACCCTCTCCAATGTAAGGCCTTAGAGCTTTGCTTCAACGTTGCCCTCAATCGCCTGCCTGCGTCCACACCCAGTCCTCTCTTGGGACCTCACTATGGCAGCCATTGTAATTCCAGTAACACCCCTTCTCTTTCTAATGCCCTGGTGGCTGCTTTCAAAAGGGCCCAGTCTCACCAGCGACGTGGCTCCATTGAGACTCAAAACCAGCCCATTCTTTCCCTCAAGATTGAAGTAGAACAGCTTGTTATCTCAATTTTAGATGACCCCAGTGTTAGTAGGGTCATGAGAGAAGCTGGTTTCTCAAGTACACTCGTGAAATCCAAGGTGGAACAATCTGTTTCAGTTGAGGTTTCCTCTCATCAGCAACAAAACACAACAGTTAAGTCTAAACCTCCTCCTCAAGTTGTCGGTCACTTTGAAGGGTCATTAGTTTTAAAGCCTATCAAGAGCGACAACGATCATAACAACAACATTAATAACCACGATGATGTTGAAACTGTGGCCAGTGAAGTTTTGAACAGGAGAAGGAATGTGATTGTTGTGAGTGAAAATGTGGGCAGTGCTGAGGGGTTAGCAAGAGGAGTGATGGAAAGGATTGGGAATGTTGTCCAAGTTGTGAGTATTCCTCTTGTGTCTTTCAGAAACATAAGGAAGGAGGAAGTGGAAAGGAAGATTCTAGAACTAAGGTGTCTTCTGAAGAGCTATATAGGTAGAGGGGTTGTTTTGTATTTGGGTGATTTGAAATGGTTGTTCGAATTCTGGGAAAGCCATTGTTGTATTAACCAGCAAGAAATGATGATGATGAAGTCTTACTGCTCAGTGGAGCACATGGTTATGGAGGTGAAGAGGTTGGTTAGTGCAAATAATATTGGTGGGGAGATGAGTGGTAGGGTATGCCTTATGGGGATTTCAACCTTCAAAACATACATCAAGTCTAAGACTAATTGTAAACCTTCATTAGAGACTCTTTGGGAGCTTTATCCCTTCACAGTTCCTGTTCCCAGCCTCAGCTTGAGCTTAAACATTCAAAGGTGCGTAATTCATTAATACTTATCACTTTTTAACATGTTTTGTTTGTGGGTACGTAGTGGAACTTACTTTAATTTGTTTAATTTTTTTTTGCTTCAGAGATTTGGAAGCTCATCAAGATGGATGTTATGAAGATGAAGGTGCAAGAGAAGTGAGAAAGAATCTAACTTGTTGCAGAGATTGCTCTATGAGTTTTGAGAGAGAAGCTCAAAGCATCATTAACTCTAGCAGATTAGCCAAGAAAGAGTCATCCGCTACTACCACGTCTATCTCTTCTACCTCACGTTTACCAACCTGGCTCCAAAATTGCAAGGAAGAACAAAGATACCATCCATTGGATGATCAGGTAATTTCATGTCAATGTTTCTTTTTCCCCCCCTTTGTGTCACTATCAAAAGAGTCAGCCTTAGCGCAACGGTAAAGTTGCATATGGTCTGAAGGTCATAAGTTCAAATCTATACACATCTATCCTTCCCAGACCTCCCCTGATGGGGACCTTGTGTAGTGGGCCACCTTTTTTCCCATGTATCTGTATATATATAATATAAAATCTATAGAAAACTGCACTATTCATAAGTCGTGAAGAATTCGGCTTGGGCTTTACTGTAAAACTTTGTGAGCAACTAGTTATGTTTGTTTGATAATGGAGCAGGACAATGAGAGGCTGAGGGAAGTGTGCAAGAAATGGAACTCCTTTTGCAGTACGGTTCACAGGCACAGTTGCAACAACATACAGTTACTTTCTGAAGCAAACGAAGGCGCAGGAGGAGCAGCAAAATCAGAATGCGAGCTGTACACATCAGACGACGTCGTTTGCTACGAAAGCAGCAACTTAATAATGTTCATGCCAGACAATAACAACAAGAAGCCAGATCTTCTCTCAAACCCAAACTCCAGCCCCAACTCAGCTTCTTCAAGTGAAGCCATGGATGGCCTGGACAGCACCCACATGTTCAAAGAGCTTAACGACGAGAATCTCAGGATTCTCTGTGATGCCTTGGACAAAAAGGTATCTTCTCAACGTAAACACGTTGTTCATGAGATTTCAAGCACTGTGCTTCGTTGCAGATCAGGAATATCGTCGAGAGAACATAGGAAAAAGAGACAGGACACGTGGATGCTGTTTCTGGGCGGTGGTGATTGTAATGAAGAGAAAGAGAATGTCTCAAGAGAGTTAGCTAAGACAGTGTTTGGTTCGTACACCAGCTTTATCACCATTAATGGTTCTGCCAGCTGCTCTTTCTCCTCAGATGAGAAGATGAAGAAGAGAAAAAGAACAATTGATGATGATGACGATGAGAGGAGTAACTGTCTGCAGAGATTTGGAGAAGCATTGAATGAAAACCCTCATAGGGTGTTCCTCATGGAGGATTTGGATGAAGCTGACGATGAAGTTTCTAGAAAGGGGATTAAGGAAGCAATTGAAAGGGGAAGTGTGAGACTTAATGGTGAGTTGATTCCTCTGAAGGATGCCATTGTCATTCTGAGCTGTGAAAGAACCTGTGATTCTTCTTCTCATCGTCCGGAGAAGAAGATCAAAGATGAAAGTCTGTGTTTGGATTTGAACATAGCCATTGATGATCATGGAGATTGCAGCAGAACTGGGATTCTAGAACTCCTTGATAAGCAGATTATTTTTAACACACAAGGAACTCTGATAGGATCAGATCAGCAAAATTAATGTTAATGTTTAATTAATTTGATGATACTTTTTCTTCTTTGTTTTCCTCCCCTTTTTTTTGTGTTAAGTTGTATTGATTTCAAGTTACTGATGATCTTGGTAGGGGAAAGAAAGACTTGAAATGCAAGTTGTTATATCAAATATAGATTTTAATTAGGGATATGCCATTGTGGATAAGTTTATGTATTGTGATCTTATTCTGAATGTAATATATATGTTGCGCCTGCAATTTAAATACCCATATTTTCTGGGATTTTGTCCTTTTTTTTTCCCCAAGGAACATAAGTTAATTAGCATGTGATGTACATGAACTTTAATAATATCATTGAGTTCTAACCAAGTTATATAAGTGACAAGAATATATATATATATATATATATATAAACTTCAAAATAATGGTCCATATATATATTCCTCATCACCAAAAACAAATAAGGGCCCTTATTTTATAATATCATGGCCATTTCTCCAGTCTGCGTCGTCGAAGAATTTTTTGCCCAAAATAATTTTAAACGTACGTACGTACACTTTCTTCCACTTGGATTTATTTAAGATATTATTATTAAAAGTTTTCTGCAAATGAACCGAGCCCATCAAGTTGATGGGGTAGCTATTCTTCAACCTAGTCACTATCATTTTTTTAGTTATTTTCTTTGATTTACAGCATATATATCATTCTTTTATTAAGAATAAAAATAAGATTCTGACAATTTATTTTTGTATTCTTGAAATTTAAATAACTTTCTTGTTTGTAACACACCCCACAACTAAAAAACTATTTACAGAGATTTTTATGATCCATTAGCAAATCTGATACATTAGACGGTGAAAATTTATCAAACTCATGTCCTTACTACAATTTTGCCGAATTTTTACCATAAACTATGCCGAATTAGCTGCTTAAATATTTTATTGTTGAAGTATTTCAAAATATCATAGTATGAAAACCCGACAAAGTCGACTGATCAGACCAATGAACTGATGAATCAGTCTTATGTACGACTCAAGTTAATTCTAATTTGAACCGCTAACTTCTGAACCATTGTGTCGATCGATTTGCAAAATCTAGGTACGTCACTAGGTGCTCCACCACCTTTCATGCCATTCTAATAAGGCAGACATGCTCTTATGTTTCAGCTTTTTGCTTTATTCACTCACAGTACTGTACTCACATACGCTCGCCAAACTCACACCTGATCAATAATCACTTTCAACCAAACTAATATCTAGTTTTCAACTTTTCCAGCCAGTTTATTTGCCTTTGAAAATAATAGAAATGAAATGGAATGGGGTGATAGAGAAAAGAAACATAAAATATACCAAACCAACTTAGGTTGTCGTGCTCGTTACTTAAGTAAATAGTTGGAGATTCGAATATTAATTCTTGTGTATGTAATAATCTAGTTATGAGAGATTTACCCTTAGCTCTCAGTACCTAGGGAGATATTATAATTCTGCTGTCAGTAGGGTGCTTGTGTGTACGCTTTTTATTACCTCACCCACAAAATGATATTGACCAAATTAATTCCTAACTTACTGTAGAATATTTCTTTTTTTTTTTTCCCCTTTTAAATTATCATCAAGAAATTGTTGCTAGATGGTTAAAAGCTAGATCAAGATTCATCAATGTGGCTGCAGTTGGTTCAAGTAGTAGTCTAGTATTTGTCCTTTATATATATATATATATATATATAGAGAGAGAGAGAGAGAGAGAGAGAGTGTGAGTATATTAAGATACCAGGTATCAAGACTTTTGTGTAGAAATAGTTGTTGTTTTAAGAGCTTTTACATCTATATTGTTTGATCCAACTCAATCTAAATTAGTCAAATTAAAATCCAATGTACTAACTATCTGAAATCATTTGGTTATTACCAAACCAAGAAAGCACGATTGAGATCCATATTGAATTTCTTATCGTCATCGTCACTTTGTTTTAAATTAAATTTAAATAATTATCAAATTTTTAAAAAATAAATAAATAAATTCAAATCTTTAATATTTGCGAGCAATTGAGAGAATTTGTCAGCTGTAGTAGCGTAATATCCAAGATTGGAAAAGAGAAAGAATATGGGGAATAGATGAAACTGGGACGATTCAAATGTAGCTTTTGAGGAAAAATAAGAAAAGGACAAAGTTTAAAGATATGTATAAAAGGTGTATGAAGGAATTATTCATAGCGTAAGCATTCTGCAAAGCTAGCCTTACCAGTATCAAAGTGAAAAGCACTTAATTAAAAACATCCATGTGAAAAAGCTTTTCTCTTCCTCTCCCTCCCTCCCTCTCTCCCTCTCCCTCTCTCTATATATATATATATCGTTTTATCTCAACGAACTTGTTTTTGAACCCGACATATATATTCCTATCCTCGTAAACTTAAAAAAGCATGTATATTTAGACGACCAACGTACGTAGAAATAAGAATCTATGAGCTGGTTTAAGACCAAAAACCTAATAGTGGAATTAAGACGTATAGGAGGATATATATCGCTAATACCATACCACTTGGAATGAGCATTTAAGCTGTCTTTTCGAAGTTATCTAAAAGAACTCGACAATAGATTCACCAAGGACCAACAATTTAGAATCAAAATCTTATCATCAATCTATCTTTTTTTGATGAAATTTCTGGCTATAATATACTTAAATTCAACTAGTTGTCCATATCAATATCAAGATACATAAATCCAAATCTGTGATAAGTCATTGTACTATATATATATATATATATATATATATTCACATATTGTAAATAGTGTAATTTGGTTTTGCAAAGTCCATGCAATACGCGAAACGTTGGCTTCAACTAAATGAGCTGGCGAATATCATCTTCCACTCAGTCGATAATGAAATCAGATACGTAATGTGAAGTGTATATATCCTTCATAAAATATCATTGTGCAACTCTCGTCCATATATATTGAAAAGGACTGTACAATTAACACTACATATCCACACACATGCTTTATATTTAGTTGCTTCAAGAGCTTTGCGTGATGTGTACTATGATTATTCCTCGATTAGATCGTTTGTGGTATGCTTATATGGGCTTATAACTAACATATTCCCTCCAATTCATGTTATAAGTCACTTCTAACTAACTGTTTTATCAAAACTATAAGAAGAAGGGATTGACTCATTAACTTTGTTGAAAATGAAATTTTTTCCCCCTATTCTTATGCATATTTAAGAGCATAAAGAAGCAGTATTTTAGATTTTAAATCTACTCCTAGTAAATTGTAATAGAAGTAATATTTAAAAAAATCATTAATAACTCAACAAATGACATGTATTATAAACGAAGACACACTATATTCCAAAGAAATATACACATTCAAGGGTGATAAAATTAATGCTATTTTTAAACGGAGTCTCTTTAATACTACCTTCTATATAAGAGTTAATTGGCAGTTAAATTTGATCATTAATATAAAATCTCAATTCACTTTGTCTTTCAAATTTATAATTTTTTCCCCTTCAAAGTACCCCTACTAATTGTGAAGAATTTCCACCAAGGGTGGTCTCAATACACATGATCAAATATGGTGTATTTAATATGATAATTTAGAAAAGTCAATACATATTTGTTACAAATAATTAATTCAACTAATTTTTTTAATATATCAAAATTAACTATTTAATTTTTATGTTAAACAACAGAGTAGTATAATAGAAAATTGAAGATGGTATATAGCTGTCCGTAGCCCTTGTCCATATGATCAAGCCCTCGATATCAACTCCTTATTTAAAAATTTAAAAAGAAGAAAGAAGAAAGAAATAAAGAAAAAGAAAGCAGCCAAATCTTCTTTGCATTCTTCTTTCTTTTCTTTTAACACTAAAATCTCCATCTTTAAGCTACACTTGTTGGCACAAATCAAAACGATTTTTCTTTTTTTTTTTCCTTTTTTTTCCTTTTTCTCCCTTTTCTTTTGCATAAAAGGGTATAAGAAAAAAAGAAAAAGGGCAAGGAACTTGAAGAATATGAAGTGGCCCTGGCCCAAGTGTTAGAAACAAAGTGGCAAAGGCTTTTGCTGGAAGAAGTAGTGGATCTTAAGAGCAAAAGAAAGAGACAAAAATGAAGTTTTATATCTTTAAGAATAAACTTGTTTTTCATGATATATATGTAATCCAAAGTTTAGTACCTTGCCTAGCTCACAAGAAACCTACAGCCTCCTTTGCTAAAAGATTGTGCAACTTTTCTTTCCATTATGTCTAAATATTATTTCATATATAAAGATTTTTCCACCATCATCTTCCTATGAATGGTCGGCATTAATCAATTCCAAAAAATACTTGTTCTCCATCCATAGATGGCCTTTTAATTGCATCTATTGATCCCAAAAGTTAAGTTATTCTCTTAAAACGTAAACAGGATGTTTGTATTACATCTTTGTAACCAAATGACAAACTTACAGAGTACACTAATAATCGATCTAAAATAATGGTAAATTTCTGGGGACCCCCCCCCCCAAATTTAAAATTTTGTTGGTGAGAAGAACCTGATAAATTTTTTATACACATAGAGTATCTATCGCTACACTGATTTAGGTCTTATTCTCAATAATAAAATTTTCAATGGGAGGGCTTTCACTTATTTTCCTAAAATATATTTAAAAAAGTATAAACAACTGCGCGTTACTCATAAATTTTGAGCAATAATGCAGAGTATCTCCAACCTACGGTATTCTTTTTTTTGATCAACCAGAAAGAACCAACCTATTGTATTCCAGCTAAGCATGCTTACGTGAAACCTCAGTATCTCGGAGGGAGATAATTTCTATTGACAATGAGACTTTAATCCTTGTGCTTATGCCCCAGAAAAAAAAGAAGAAGCTAACATATATCAAGATATATTTTCATATAACTAAGAAAACTTGTTAAATGAAATGGTAATAGAATGTGGGTTGAAGTTTAGAATTCAGATCCTCCTAATATAATAAAAGGTACAATTAGTTATATGTGCGCCAACAAGGCCATTAACATTAAGCATATAAAACGCTTTGAATTGCCAATGGTCCTATAGTCTAGTAATGACATGAAAACTATCCTAGAAATGTGAAATTGTGAATTCAGTCTCACTTATAATTTCATATTATTAGTGTTCATCTAAAATCTACATGGGGGATAAATTAATACATGGGTATGGGAAAAAATTGCAACCTTTTTATATTATCAAAATAGCTAGATATTCCACGGATATTAATTAATTTATCAATACGTGAAGATAAAGCTATTTCTATTTTATAAAGTTTTATTTCACTCCTA